ACAGAGAACTTTGGGAAATCCTAAAGATAAAAGGAAACTCGTCCCTTCTAATTTCGAAATGTAATTGACAGGAGTATCACAAGGCAAAAATCCAATCTCAAGCACGTCAACGATCTTTTGATTTATGAAATCGTACACTACTAAAGCTAAATCATTTTTCAAATCATTTGTAAATGCTACACAGTTTCTGTTTTTCCACACAAAGACTTTTGAACAATATTTATTGGAAATTATAACTTTCTCACCAGATGGCAAACAGATATAATTCATTTTCATTTTAACATTCACGTCGGAAAACAAATAACGCGGCGAAAACATTTGAAAGGAATCATAACTACACAAATTCTGGTCAACACGAATATTCTTGTTATCAGTCTTTTCTAAAGTTTCAGAATTCAAGATGTTCATGTCATCTAAGACTGGGGAACCAGATCTTTCTTGACCCCTTGGCCAAAGAAGAATGTACGAGTTACAATTACTAAAGAAACAATAAGATCGCTCACCATACACATTCTCAACTTCAACCAATATATTCTTCCTTTTTACATCCCACACTTTGATTGACGTTTTCTCTAATGTGACAAGTTTCATTCCACATGAAGAAAATGAACAGCGACTGATGTCATCGGGGCCGTGCGTAATGAAGGGGACCTCTTTCTTTTCTTTAATATTGATGCAGAACCGGATTGAATTGCATAAAAAATATGAAGAGTCTGGAGAAAAGGCAGAGTATTGGTAAAGACGTCTTTTACTAGTAAATTGTGCCTCAAAGATTGTTGTAAGATCTGGTATTTTAAGCATTTGAACTTTCCGCCTATGCGTATTTACGGAAGCAAACATCGTATTGTCCGGTGACACACTGATGAAGTGAAATGTCTGTAAACACAGTTTGGGGGACAATGCTTAAATTAGAATTGATTTCAGTTGTCACATATTCTATCCAAATCTCATTTGTCGCACCCAAGATACCCCTAGCTGCACTTTTGGAATTGACGGCACCTTGTGAAAAATCGAAGTATCCATTAGCGAGTGTTTGCAAATATGCGTAACAATAATCTTTTTCAAAAGTATTCTTAAGTATTCTTTTCGAAACGATAACTTGTACCGTTTCGCAGAAACAAAGGTGTTGCATGAAGCCGCAATAAATATCTTTGGAAAGTTTAGAACGGTACGTGCCAAGAATTCGCTTAAAAGAATAACTGTTCATCTTAGGAAAAAATTTTAGTTTCAAGAAGTTTATACCAACATGCACCAACCAATGAAATTCCTCTACCTCGCCTGTAACGACCAAATATTTGAAACCATTTTTTAAAGCGTACCTATTCTCGGCTAAAATTTGGAATTCTAAAACAGACTTCAAAGCATCTATCTCGCAAAATTGTTTCTTACAAGCACGCCAGAGACGTCTATTGCCGTCTTCAACATCTGCAACGAATGCATGTTCTTCATAACCGTTCAATATCAGCCAATCCCATACTGACTTATGATAAACAGTCAGACACCCATCGTAAACAGGAAAAATTTCCGACATTAGGTCAAGAACCGCTTTACGTATTTTAAATTCGTCTTTAGAGAGACCCATGCATGTGAAAAGAATTTTTATTGGGAGGGGTTCCTTAGAAACGGCAACGACATTGATGAAACTGTTTAAGAGACATGAGGTATCTTGCTTGAAATGTTGGAGGCCTATGTCTAAACGTTTGAACTGCTTTTCGTAATATCCCGAAATACCGTTGGAGATGTAATCACTTCGGTCGGGTTCAATTCCCACGCCCTTTTCGCTCATTTCACTGACCAAGTAATAAGCGTACAAAAACGATCCCGCACATATTGAAATAACTGACCTTATACGATTATCAACAAGATTAGGTAAACTATGACGAACAAAAAGCTCTATGTCTTGGTTGTGATCTTCGTCATCAGGACGGATTTCCCACGGGTGAAGATGTTCAAGAATTTTTCGTACTTGTAGTTCTGGTCGACTTGAAATGAATATCTTAATCTAATCAGGTAGTTCACAAAATCTCTCAGATATCAACTCCAATAATTCGCTTTTCTCGTCAGTTTTGCTCTCGTCCAAAGCATCAACGATGATCAACATTGGATCGTGTCTGTCAAGGGCATGGAGGGGGTCGTTCAAAAGAACACGAAATGCGTCTGACAGCGAGTCACGAGAATGTTCACGACGAAGAATTTCGGTTAGTTTATCACGAAATCCTTCAACATTATCACACATTTGACTGGCAAGAGACTGGAGTATTCTCTGAGGATTGCTGTAATCAGAATTTCGAAAGTCACAGAAATGGTGAGCTACGAGTTGACCACGTTCTCTAAAAAGCTCGCAAAGCTTTGCAGACAAAACACTTTTTCCAACGCCTGGACCTGCAGTTAAGATCAAGACCCTGGATTCTTTACTCCCAAACCAATTTGAAAGTTTATCAAACAACCAATTTCTAGTGCCATCTTGAAATTTTCTACAAAGGTCACGAATCTTTCCAGTGAAATTAAATTTAGCCAGTTGCTCGACATGGGAGAAATGAACATTTTCAACTGTCTTTCTTAGTTTGACTACTTCAATTTTAAAATCATCCTCTTGTTGTTTCCATTCTTTTAATCTTTCAATATAACTTTCTTCTTCAGGGCTAAGAGGAGCCACCTTTAATTCATCGATATCATTTTGAGGAATTCCCAAGTTGACTAACGGAACAGAAATTTCTTGCCACAATGTTTCAAACGTTACGTCGTCCAAACCAGCAGTCGGAATATGACCATAGACCTCATTTCTAAACATTTTGACTCTTACAATATTTGCAGATATAGAAGTATCGCTGACTGGAGGCATCACATTCCATCCGGTGGCTGGTGCGGACAATCCACAAATATTTCGGAGTAGGACAGTCAATAGGGTAATATCAAAGTTTTTTGAATCTGGTGTACCAGATCTTGGAAAGAGTAGATCCCATTGCGAGGCTTTAATTACACTGTATCGTATTTTTTGCAAAGTCTTCTTGTTGGCATTCAGTACAGAGGCTAAGGTGGAAGGTGGATGCACCGCATGCAAAGCATTTCTCAAAACATCTCCACCTTTATCTACCAACAAATGACATACCCTGGAATAATTAGCTTTGGCTTTCAATGGATCCATTGTTGTCTTTAAATATCAACTTCACAGTCCCCTAAACAAGAGACACAGTCAGGATAATAATTCTTATAATGCTATTATATAAAGGATGTTGTATGGTTTATCAATTATAAGCTTTTTAAAGTGATATAAACACGTAAAAAGCGTTTTCACTTGGATTTGCGTCTCGTGAAAATATTGAGATCTAACTCATTTTCACAAATCAACTAGCCTGTGCACAGACGCAACGCTCCCTCATAAATTACGTCAGTGCACAGGCTTCTAATATACTGAAGATTTGGGAGTGATAATAGGCGGCATTCTTTAAATGTTAAGAATAAATAAATAAATAAATAAATTGCCTTTACTTTTGCATAATATTCATACGCATAATATTTAATACGATGCTACAAAAAATCATTTTCGAGGACCCTGTAGTTCAACCAAATTTTATCTGTTTAGGGCCTTTTCTTTATCTAACTGTAACTGAGTACGTACAGCTAGATATGTTGTAAAGAATGCCCCCAACTAACTAAACATTTTCTGGTTAGACTTGTATCAAACTACGTGGAAACGGGGCCTTAGGTACAGCACAAAAGTGCAAGTTAGGCTCGTTTGAGACGTTGAATTTTTCATGTGCCAAATCCAGTGAAAAATGAACTTAAGCAAAGACTTTATCTCATTAACATTAGGTTCGGAACATGAAAAGTCGATGCTTGAAAGGGGCCTAAGTCATTTCTACGCCATAGTATTGGGCTCTGCGTTTAAATTACTCTTGAACTAGAATTATTACTCGTTATAATAGCTAAGAACGAACAGGTTATAATATGGGAAAGAGACAGTAAATTCATGCAATTTAAAATAATATAAAATATATACAAAATCTTATCAAGTCAGGTCCTATCAAAAAAGGAGACGTCTTTGAAATAACGGAGTATCAGCGGGGGAATGAGCTCCCTCGCTGAGGCGTGGCTCTGGGACACACCATATAGGTTTTTCCTCTCAATGTTTGTGAATGGTTCAAATCGTATCTTACTCACAGATGCCAAGACACCGTCGTTTATAATAAGCAGTCCTCTGTAAAGCCTGTGAATGTAGGGTCCCACAAGGAAGCATTCTTGGGCCGCTTTTATTGATTATCTATGTGAATGTGAACAATTTACACAATTATATCAAGTCATGTAATATCTCTATGTATGAGAATGATACTGTCGTTTACTTTTCTTCAAAGACAGTCAAGGTATTGAATTAAACGAGGATCAGGCAAATGTTGAAAAGTGGTTCACAGACAATCTCGTAACCTTGAATGAGAAGAAATCTAAATTCATGCTAATTGGTGGCCATCAACGACTTAAATCTTGTTCTGGTGTTTCCATCGGTATCAATGGGCCAATACGATTGTGCATGATGAGGATGCAGGTTCTCCATTGATGATGAACTGCGAATTGAATTCCTAGTTTTTATTGCCTAAATAACTTACAGAATGTGCTAATGCGAAGTCTAATTTTACTCGAGACATGCACACCCTGATCAATTTCAATACCTATGCTCTAGTAACACTCTGTTGTCTAGATGACATTGGTGTAGGGAGTTGATTAATAGATGCAATTGTATTAAATAAATGAACGTTTTTCGCCGATATTTAACCAAAGAGATAGACAAGGCACGTTTAGCGGATCTGTATACTGTATATAGATCACGTAAAACTGTACTAGCTGTAGGGAGCTACATTAAACGGATCTTTTACTATAGATCACGTAAAACTGTACTAGCTGTAGGGAGCTACATTAAACTGATCTTTTACTATAGATCACGTAAAACTGTACTAGCTGTACGGAGCTACATTAAACTGATCTTTTACTCAGTAAATTATTCGCACCTTGACTCAGAGAACTTCTCACACGAGTTGAATAACTTTGAGTTGTCCTCGCTGTAAACACTCAACCAACATTATGCAACATTGTGTATAAGCAAAATAATGGTAGATCTCCTCCTAAAATTATAACAGAAACAATATTAAACAAGGATCCAGATGAAATGTTACACACAAAACAGGCATATCAAATGAGGTTCAAAATTTGAGTGTTTAAATCTCTAGTTTTTGCTCCTCTACAGACCACATTTGCGTCCGCTTACGTTTTTGTGTGGGACTTTGGTTTCGCGGTTGCTGCTACTTACTACCTCAAAACCTCAATTTCCTATGCTATATGATGTTACACTATTAACATTTACATAACAATACATGTACAAATTACGATCATAACACTATTTTTGCGCATACTATGTAAATGACTGTTTACTTATATGGTTGGTATACTCAACCATGCGTTAACGGAAATTTCGCAACAGTCGTTAATATTTTTTTGAACAACATAAAGGTATTAGGTAGTTGGTGAGCCCCACTTAATAATAAGCGAGTTTAAGATGCACCAAATCTACGACGCGGACGTGGCATGAAAATTGCTACTAGTGTGAGTATAGACAGAGCCACTATATCATTTCATATGCTCTACAGAGATTATATCATTTCCATGTACTGGAGTGCGGCAAGGATTGAAAAAAACATTAGTGAGAAATTTGCGAGTTTTCAGCGTCGTAGCTGGAACCTTAATTGGGGGGGGAGGGGTGGTATGTTCATATATTTGTCTTATGATGACTGATTTCTTTCGTACGCTATTGTTCCTACGATATGCAAACATGATTATATGATTATAAGGAATAAGAGACTGAATGGACATAATAAATATAACAGTTGTTGGCAGGCTGAGGCTGGATTTTGTGTCTCACACAACTTTCATTCTGTGGGTTTGAATTAAAATTATTTTTTAAAAAATCTGTCATGTGTGGGATTAGGACATTTCAGAAATACTTGTATAAAAAACGACTCATAATTGTGGTTTTTTAGATAGTTATTTTTTCAACAATTACAAAATAACGCAACATAAATGTTGTCCGGTTCGCTGTGTGTTGCATGTGCTGCGTCTTAAGTTTTCTCCCGTGTCCGTCACATGACAACTTACGTCATAGTAATAACGGAAATTAAATTATAATGAAATATGAAGAAGGACCGTTTTCTACATCTTCCCCCACAAAGTATTTGCATAGCGAATACGTTAATTAATTACAATATTTGTCCCTTAATCTTCGAGCGTTCTGTCCTTCTATCGCCGCCTTCCTTGTCGGTCTCTTGACGTTCTCCGGTTGAACTTCCTTCGTCTCTAGCGTCTCGATACGTTCCGTGTTCTTTCCGATTTTCTCGTTTCCTGTCTTTTCTTCGCCCTGTTCTGCAACTTCGAATGCAATTAGTTTTGATAACGGTCTATGGATGGTACTGGGCTTTCCGCTCTTCGTGAGTACTTTCAACTTTGCCCCCCGCACGTGACCGTCTCGACCGATGATGAGTTCCACGACCTTTCCCATTCTCTACTGTGTTCGCGGGGCTGGCTCATCTTCCTTGATGAGAACCACGTCTCCGACCATTAACTCACGAATGAAACCCTTCGTTCTGCGGTAGATGCATGTTCATCTGGCGTAACTCGTTCAGGTATTCGTTCCGGAATCGAACCCAACAATCTCTCAACACCTTCTGCAGATGCTGAAATCGATCTCTACACTGTCCGACATCGAATCCCGGTACAACATCTGCCGTTCTTCTACCAAGATTCTCCTTTGTATATGCCCGTCCGTACATTAAATGAAATGGAGTCAGCGGTTCCTCAAGATCATCCTCGCTCAGATACGCCAATGGTGGGTTGTTGATGGCAACTTCGATATCACACAATATCGTTTGGAGTTCCTCGAACGTCGTGTAGGCTCTACCTAATGTCTTCTTAAGACACGTCTTAACTGTCCGTACGAGGCGTTCATAAAAACCTCCCCACCATGGCGATGCTGGAAGAATATACCGTTGCTTTATTCCCTGGCGTACCATAAACCGTTTTACCTCCCTCGACTTGAACGTCTTGAAGTTATCATTGATCACCATCTCTGGTACTCCTCGACGTGCAATGAATCGTTTAAATCCACGCAAAAATCCTTCGATCGACATGTCCATCGTAAGTTCTAAATGTATAGCACGACTGGAGGCGCAAGTTAGCAATAGTATGTGCACCTTATTACTGTCCGAGTTGTTCTTAATGTACAAGGGTCCGGCGTAGTCCAAACCAGTTGCTTGAAATGCAAACCCTGAATGGTCCACTCTAAATGCTGGTAAATCTGGAGACGCAGGGTTGCACAAAACTTTACCTTGATACCGCTTGCAAACGACACACTTCCGTAACACGTCCTTTACGCTCTTCCGTCCCTTGATGATCCAGTATGTCTTTCGAACTCGTGCTAACGTTGACTCGACTCCGTGATGCATGGTCGATTCATGGGCGTCCCAAATAATTAGCTTGGTCAAATGGCTGTCAGACCGAAGCAGAACCGGAAATTGTTCTTCGTACTTTAATCGAGAGTTCGCAAATCGTCCCTTTAACCGTAACAGCCCGTCTTTATCTTCAAAAAGGTTCAACGATCCGCGAAGATTACCGTAGTTGGACTGTTCTCTGATCAGTCGTTGTTCTGCTTTAATCCACAGCGACAGCGCTGATTCATATTCGTCGACCGTTAAAAACTCTTCTACGATTACGTCTGTTAGTTGTTTTGCTCGTTTACGCACATTGTTGACGTATCTCCTCACATAACCGGTTACGACTATAAGTTTTTTCAGCGAGCTGTACTTCGTGCAGTCTATGACAGTGTTAAGTGAGCACAAGTTGTCTGAAGTATTCTTCCGTGTCGTGTTGGTATTACAGGTAATTTCAGAAACTAAGGTTACCCTAGCTGCTTCCCTATTGGCCTGATCTAAAGGGTTTTCATTAGTACCATCAGTACTGATGTCCTCCCCACCGGACTCGAAATGTTGTGACAGGAGGAAGGAAGGTCCAGAGAACCATCTTCCCGTAAAACATTCATTAAGGGTGACAGATATTCGTGTGGGGATGTCTGCAGGATTGACATCTCCTTTAACAAAATGCCATCTATCACGATCTACAACACTTCTAATAGAAACTACTCTATTTTCCACCCAAGGTTTCCAACATTTTTCTTTTCCTCTGATCCAGCACAACGCCACCTCCGAATCCGACCAACAGTGTATACTATCCAATTCTATACGACTTTTAACGCCTTCAAGAACCTCCCTAATCAATTTACTTAGTAGTAGACAGCCTAACAATTCTAGTCGAGGTATACTAAGGGCTTTCAGAGGAGCAACCTTTGTTTTAGAAGCAAAAAAACATACTTTCACACCTTCATCGCTAATGAACCGAAGGTAGACAACTGCGCAATACAGCTAAGAAACGTGCAAAGATATAACGCACCGTGGTTGCCGAATTTCATGTAGCCGTTTTAATTCATCCAAAAATTTGTTCCAAATAGCCGAAATGCCTGGTGGAATGATATCATCCCACTCTAATTTGTCTTTGCACAACAACTGAAAAATTGTTTTAATCCTCGCTGTGATGGGAGCAATCAAACCTAATGGGTCAAAGATTGAAGCCGAAACACTTAACAAGTTTCGCTTAGTTTGTTCCATATGGTCACATTTTGATAATAGTTCAGTGAATTGAAAAACAATTTCGTCCCTATCAGTATCCCACCCTAAGCCCAACACTACCTTATGGTTGGTCTTAACGCCCGAGTACACTGGAGTTGTTACCTTACAATATGTCAGGTCGTCACCCTTAGGTTCTGTATTTGATTTAGTGCTTCTTGTGATGAAATGTAAGCCCTAAGGTTATGGTCATTCGTTTCCCATTTTCGCAAGTCAAACCCCGCTTCTAACATAATTGTCTTACTCCTATTGTACAAATCCTTCGCTTCCTCAAGATTGTTACGCCCGCTAACTAAATCATCGACATACAGGTCATCCTGTAACGTCTCTACCGCTATCTCGTTATGGTTAATGTACTTACTTAGATGATGTTTAATTGTAGCATTCAAAAGGAAGGGGCTACTAGTCAATCCAAAAACAACTCGAGAGAACTGATATATTATTTGTTCGTCCGAATCAATATCATACCATAAAAAACGCAAAAATGTGCGATGTTCTGGAGATATCGCGACATTTAGAAAGGCCTGTCTTATATCTGCCAAAATCCCTATTCTATTCAGCCTGAATCTTAAGAGAATGTCAAAAATTTTTGTGATGAGATTTGGTCCCGCATAGAGGCATTCATTAAGTGAGGGGCCACTATTTGTTTTGCAGGAAGCATCAAAGACTGCGCGGATTTTAGTGGTTTCCTTATCATCCCGTATTACTGGTCTATGTGGTAAATAATGGACTTGACCCACCTTCCCTGCTACATCGTCAGATGGGATGCGCTCGATGATACCCTGCTGTTCGTATTCTTTAAAAATGTTGTCATAATCATTAACGATCCCTTTTGATAGTAAACGAGCTTTCAGTGACTTTAATCGTGCTTCACTCACTGCAAAATTATCAGCTAAAGGCTCATGATCTGGTTTGAAGGGTAATTTAGTCACATACCTAGTGCCGTCATGCATTATGTTGTTTCTAAAGTCGCTTACAACTTGATCCTTCTCTAAGCCTATACTCTCAACAGCCCAAAATTTATCTAAGTCATTCCGTAAGGCATCTGTTGGGACTGTATCCGCGGTAGTGCGCAATAAGTGTGTTTCAAAACAATGTAGATCAGGGGAACTCGAGCCCAGTCGCCCGCTGAGTACCCAACCCAACTTAGTACCACATGCAACAGGGCCCTCCCTACTTCTGATGATTTTTCCTGTCATGAAGGTATGGTAAAAATCAATGCCTATTAGGATACCTACTGGTAAGTCTGAGAATTTTTCATTGCGATCAGCAAATTCTAAATTTTTAAACTCCTCAATCCGTTGTGCACTATCTATGTGCTGGTTGGTTAAAGGACTACATATGGAGGGAACACACAAGGCTTCGATGGATGTGAATTTATGGTCAGACTTATCCTTAACATTTACTTGTACAACATCAAGCTCTTGTACCTGACTATCACCTGATTGTCCGAATGTTTTAATGATAACCTTTTCTTTCCGCAAAGTTTTTAACTGTAACCTACTCCTAACCTTGTCTGAAATATAGGAGCGTTGACTTCCGCTGTCAAATAAAATTCTGGTGTAATTCTTAACTTCTGTCTTATCTGATGCACATACAAAAGCTATGGCTGTTTGTAAAAGTATACCCTTGTTTTCTGACCCCGTATGCCCAACGAAATTTTCTGTACCGTTATTTTCTTCCGAATTAGTTTCGGTAGGGTTGGTCTCACAAATTGAAATGTGATGTTTTCCCTTCCTACACCTTTTACACTCATACCTAGACCTACACTGTTTGGCGAGATGTCCAGTGTCTAGACATATAAAACATCTACCACTCTTACGCAAAATAGCTTTCCTAGTCTGTCGATTAGTGACCTTACCACACCGAGAAGCAAAATGATCACCGTTGCAATAAAAACATTGCATTTTACTGTTCTGACTGAACAAACCACTTGTTGTGTAAGGCTCCCTCCTTTTAGGTGCATCCGAGTGAACATTTTGAGGGTTGCAGTTCTCCTGAGCCTTCAGTTCATTTCCGAAGTACTCCATAACTTTGTCTAGACTCCAGATTTGGCCGCAAAATTGTCTCGAAATTATCATATTAATCTCATCTGGAAGCCTATCCTTTAATATAGGGATCAAAAGTGACCCATACCCACTAGTGTCAAGCTTAAGTGCCCGTAAATTTCTTATACAATTTTCCACATGTGTATAAAGTGTCCTTAACCCTTTTACATTACTAACCGATCGTATTTTATCAATTTTTAACAATGATTCCATGTGAGCTGAAATTAATACTTGTTCATTACCAAATCTATCTCTTAATATGTCAATGGCGTCCTTATAGTTTTCTGAACTTAAGGTTAACCCCGATACTGTAGTGTGTGCCTCACCTTTGAGGCATCCCTTCAAATAGTTAAACTTATCAATCTCACTGATACTGACATTCTCATGAACTGAAACTTGAAACTGGTCCCAGAACCCCTGCCATTCAAGCGGGTTACCCGAAAATTGGGGCAATCCTATTTTAGGGAGTTTACGATGGATCTGGCTGTTGCTAGGACGATGACCACTTGTACCCCCTGATGAAACTGTATTAGTGTGGTATTGATTAAGCTGAAATTTTTCAAGCTCTAAGTCCACCTGTGCCAGAACTTGATATGTCTGTTCTAGGCTTTGCATGTGTTTGATTACTTCCGGCCCTATCTTGTCCGGTTCAAGTAAAGATAAAATTGTCTCATGCACAGTGCCATATTGCTCAATGAGTTGCAAAACCGTTTTCTTAAACCCAAGAAGCTTTGATTGTTCGCAATGTCCGGCCGAAATATATTCAGTTACTTCATTCGTTACTGCTTTCAAGTAGGTTTGAAGACCGACGTGTCTACCTTGGGCTCTAGCCAAATTTTCTGCCATAATACATACAATGGACAATTGTTTGACAAATGACAAGACAACACAACGCTATTTAGACTACGATTTAGGTCTTTTCCACTGTATTGCCACTATAGATTATTAAAAAGGAAAGCGCACTATATTCTACCTCAGAAGAATCCGTTGAAATTAGTCAATACAAGAAATCTACCTCCGAAAGAGCAAGAATATGTCACAACGTGAGTCCACCGACACGCTTGGAAGATACTCAGACTTGCGTTTACTCACTTTACTGTCGACGACACTCGCTCCTGACCGACTCTTGTTATTCTAGGGACACTCCGTTAGTCCCCTATCGGGCTCCATATAAAAAACGACTCATAATTGTGGTTTTTTAGATAGTTATTTTTTAACAATTACAAAATAACGCAACATAAATGTTGTCCGGTTCGCTGTGTGTTGCATGTGCTGCGTCTTAAGTTTTCTCCCGTGTCCGTCACATGACAACTTACGTCATAGTAATAACGGAAATTAAATTATAATGAAATATGAAGAAGGACCGTTTTCTACAACTTGTATTACAAATTTACAATAAATATAGCTTAACATTTTTGGTAATATAGAAGATATACGCCCAAGGAAAACTTTTTAGGGAAGTGATTTGAACTAAAAACTCTGCAAAAGTACTTGTAAATCAGGGATATAGCTAGAAGATTACTTGTGGGTGGGGGATTTATATATTCATGTTCAAATAAGCAACCCTGATGTAAATTGAAATATAAAGTCTGCAAACGCATATGAATAGTAAATACTTCATTTTATTTTGACTCTTTGGGCTTCAATTTCATACCAGGGCACATGATAACACAAGTGTAGAAGTAATAATAATAGTTATTACCAATAAATTATTTATAATATATATCAAGAAAATCTATATTCCTCAGTGTGATAACATTTTTCAATATGACATTCTTAAAACTTGATATTTTGACCTCTCAGACATCTTGAATACTGGACTGGAAACTTGTAAATATAAGTAATATTTAACTAGTGAAATTACTAAGGGTGAAGCTTGAGTGAAACTCCTGAAAAACCACACATGTCATTAGTTTGTAATAACATAGTTGAGTTTCTCATTTGGATATTAGTAAAGTTAAAATGGTATTGAATAATGATCATTAAATTTTGATTTGATCAAGACAGAAGTGTGTTGTTGTTGGGCAGAATGTAGTTATTTTCAAAATTGATCCAATTACCTAGTAAGAAGAAGTAAAACTAATTCCTTTCTAATTTATTTAAACCAACCAAATACCGCAGGTTGCATAGTTACTGTACATGTCTGAATATGATTAAATACACTGACTAATATAAAATTTGGAAAAATATAAAATTTGATTCGTCAATGAAACAGGAAGTTAGGAACTTTTTAAGGAACTTTTCAAATTGTTGAGGAATTGTTCAGATGTGTTCCTTCAAGTTAGGAAATGAACTGGTCAACATTTTTCGGAATGCTTCTATTGGCACAACTGAAATACCTCTCATAGATTGCTCTCATATTTGTATTTTTTATATTTATTAGTTAAACTCCCTTTCCCTAGAACTTAGATATTCACACATTCCTAACTCTGGGGAAATACTGTAGATTAAAACTGTGTAATCCATCAATGGCAGAGTTTAAACTGTTTAAATCTACATCACAATTTGAACATAGTGATCAGGCAACTTTTTACATGCTTATTATATCTCTGTCCAATTTGGATAAATATTATTAAACTTAATAGAAAACTTCACGCCTCTTGCATTCTCTCTTGCACACCTGAGACTCTGCAGTTATGAGCAGCATTTACACTCCAGTCTAGAAACTTGTTTTCCAATGTCGTATTGTGCATAAACTAAATCATTACATTACTTGATATTACAACATTGCTCTTATACAAAACACAATATGAACGATGTGTCTTTTAGGAACAATTCATGCAAAAACATGCAAAGGTTTGGGGGCAGCAATTTAGTGCTTTCTTATGTATTATTTGACCAACCAACCAAAGTCCACAGGTCTGTAATGAAAAGAATTAATATAAGATTGAATCTGACAAGAAGACCATTGTCTTTCATTTGCTCATGTATGAAGAAAAAACAAACATTACATGACACACAGTTACACAAAATGACTGAGACATAACTATTAGTCTATGCATCATGTGTGTATTTGTCATCAGTTCATCTAGTGTTGCTAATATATTGTTTTTTCTATTAAAAGTTTGAAATATTTATGATGAATTGATAAACTTATTGATAAATATTTAATGTTGTAGTTACCAGTATATATTACAGTACCAACTACCAAGTCTGTGGGGGAATATTGCAAAATTTAATACCAAATTGATTTACGCTTATTTTATAAAAATAATCAACCGATCGCAAGTTGAAAAGCGAACTCACCTGTTTCACTACACGTTAGTCAACTTTTCGCAAGCAAATTTGAGCGAAGATTGTTCACAACTTGGCATCTTCTCGACGGATTTTTATCGCCATTAACGCCCAGATCGTCATGAAATTTCGTCGTTTCGTAGTGACGAACCTTCTCGCAATTTCCCAAAAAAAGCAAACATCGATGGACACGAAATGATGTTAAAAATCCGCCGATTCCTCTCTCGCACGAAATTCACGGCACAAACGGCAGCCATTTCGTTCGAAAGCAATTTTGCATATTCCTATCGTCATGCAACAGATTACAGAAGTTTCATATCTGTATATAGCTAATCTGTGCCATACTTAGCGCGCCTAGTGCTAAAATGGGAGAGGTCTATTAAAATGTATATTTTTATAAAGTTAGTAAGCTAAATCTAGCCTTCATCGCTCATCCCGTTCAACTGAGCAGTCTGATCTCAGTTTAGCCTAAGTTTTTAGGTAGTTTGGCGCGTACTTTCTTTTTTTCAGCGCAAATTATTGACGATTTTGACGCATAATTCGTTGTGAAATTTTAGCTGTCCGACGCATAATATTTCGACATTCCATACTGGCAAATTGCACAAATAAATATACACTATAAAAACAATCAAAACAAAGTAATACCTTTTTATTTCAAGTACAACAGATCTGATATCAGAAATCTATTCAACGACGATTTTTCCAGAAGAAATATCAGGGTTTACTTCGGTATTTTGATCACAAATATATTTGTAAGTTTTGCTTCGACAAAATCATGTGACTGTCTGCCACTGACCTAAATATATGTGGAGCTCACTGATGCGCATATTATGGTAATACAACAGCGCAATATGGCGACTGCCAAAGAGTGCGCTAAATCGTCAAAGCGGTCATCACAACAACGGCTTTCCTTGGAGGCTAGTTTAGAAAACTTACGGGAATAAACTGGTACAATAGAGAAAAAAAGACCCCAAAGCAGAGCGACTTCTTCCTCACGTACGATAGCAGTGGTAATCTTATACGTGATTCCAATTACAAAATTATACCGCTCTGTTGCTGAACGCAAAAAAGAAAAAAGCGCGCTACTTCTGGCCAAACTAGTAGTGTCACTGGTAAATTAATCATAATTTTTTTTATATAAATAATTATTGTATTTTTCGAGAGCGACGACGTTGACCTTTGCCCATTTGAATCAGATAGTGGTTTTGATTTTGACATCATTAATGAAGAATCATCTCATGCTTCTCTACAAAGAAGTTAGTCTCATCCCTATATACCCTGATGTTTCATTTATTACTACTACTTATTACGACTATTCAACGCTTGCGTGCAAGCATTACTGTGCTATTCATATTTATAATTTGTAGAAAATTTGACCACCTGTATAGTAAATTGTGAAAGTTTGACCCAAGAGATGAAGTCCAGTCCCCAGTACATGTGGACAAGAAGAATGCAGTCTGTGGATGCTGCATGGAAAAATAGCAGATCTGCTATATTTGCTGCTGTTTTAAAAAGTTATGCAATTCCTAAAACTGGGGCTGTTTGCTTCATGTGCAGAGAAGACAGAGCTGTTGTTCGGTGACGCCACTGTGGACCAGATGCATTACTCTGTAATAATTGTGATGAGACAGCTCATGAGATAAAACCTTTGCATCATGACCGTGATGTTTGGATAAATGGATTTTATCAACCAGTTCCTCCAACTGAAACAGTCCTGCCAGACGGAGTCTATCTGCAAATCTATCCGCAAGAAACGATAATTTAATTGACAACAATTGAATGAATTTTACGTTATTTAATTGAACCACCCAGCGCGTGCGTTTTCGATGAAAATGATTTTGTCGTGAATCTAGCTAAAAACTGGTATGTGATGATCACTGAACGGCAACAAACCCAGGGGTGTAGAAAGCATCCAGTGATTGGGGGGTACCGGCTTCCAAATAACTCTGCCCGGTTCGAGTTATGAAAACATATCTACTCCAGTCATCGTCTGGCCAAACAACTCGTCCACTGTTCCAATTTACATCAGCTGTCCCACTTACACGTGTAACCCTAACATCGCACCTACGTCATCTACTTCAAGGGCAAGGACTAGCCGAAAAACTCTACGCCTCTCATAGTTTCAGGATCGGAGTTGCTACAGCTGCGGGCTCAGCCGGCCTAACCTCTTGGCTCATCAAAACGCTAGGACGTTGGTCTTCAGACTGTTACGAGAGATACATTAAAACTCCAAAGGACGTCTTAGCTTCCGTTCCATAAAAACTAACTACAAGTTCCAAATATTGAAAATTTTGTTTAATATCTACCTTTAAAACTCAAACATTATGCTTCCTTCCTGTATAGTCTGTATAATACCAGTCCTCTATTTGTGTGTATGTGGATCCTTCCTGCAAACTCATAGCCTGTCGTATGTTTGTTCTGTCATGCTACCACGGAAACTGCACGATATCTTCAAATCTGTTTGTTCAAGGACGCACATACACACAATTGCCGGTCACCTTTGCAAGATTGTGTCTTAAAGACATTTTCGGGTGGACCCTCTCCGCTGTCGAAAGACAGGACTATAATTCGGCCTACTTCCCGTGGTGGAAATGGCAGTGACCGCGAATAATGGCAGGAAGTGCTGTCCTTCTAGACAACACCTCACCACGTGAAGTGCATTTGTACAGGTCATTTTGGTCGAAAACGCGACCTAATGACCTGACCTAGAGACTCGATGGGTCAGTCAGACAATATTTGAGTCGAGCTGACTGACCTGAACCGGGGTCCGCCTGTTCCCCTGTTATTTAGAGGTCCACCTGTTCCTCTAGAAAAACCTTTAGTTTTTGCATGCTCTGTCTTGCTCACACCCTCTGCGAATTAGAGGTCCTCCTGTTCCTCTAGGAAAAACTTAGGTTAATTAGAGCCTCTAGACCTTTTTTCTAGCGCTTCCTGCCCAATTTATATGCCACAAAAATGTCTCATTGTGTTGTTGCTTTTCAAAATCCTTATAAAGAATCTTAACATATAAACTACATTAAACGTATTATACATGTTTATGGTTTAACCTGAAATACACGACATTTTTCATTTTTTATGTTGTAGCTTTTTAGTAAAGTAATGTAGAATGTATGATTATAAGTACGTAATAGCAAGAAAATTCTAGAACAATAATTATGTGAGTTGATAATTTGAGTTGAAAATATTAAAAAGATAAAAAAACAATCAATCAACATGCCTGCTAGAGTTATTGCATGTTCAGCAGAAAATTTCGCCGTTTCGTTAAGCTGGCAGCTTTATAAAAGTTTTGCAAACAGAGTATGACTTGCGTATAAGCCTTTAGAAGATAATTCTAGCTACGTTTGTTTAAACTGAATCAATAGACATTGTAAAAAGTTAAAGCGATTCGGGAATAATACTCAACAGTGTTAAGTCGATGCGCTAGCAATATTTATATGCAAGATGCCAGCAACACGACGAAATGTAACAACTAAGCGGATTAAATGGACGGAAGAAATGATATCAGATCTTATAGTGTGCAGAGAAAGAGCTCTGGAAGAACGGAACAGCCGAGATAAACGACGGCAAGGCTATATGGAAATAATGCGGCTGTTGTGGGAAGAGAAAGGATATGCACCACTGGGTTTAACAGCACAAAATCTTTGCGATAAAGCAGCTCAAGTAATAAAGTCTCGAGAACAAAACAAGCAACGTGATGTCGAGGCGAACGTGGATAATGAAATTGAAATTACCGATGAATTAATAAACGAAATTCACGGACAAGATCAACACGAAAATATAGCAGTCCGTGAAGTTATCAACATGAACGAGTAAGTATAATAAATGCAAATCAGGAGTTCTCAGCGGTACCTATTAACATACAGAGTCAGTTTAAATGGGGCGATCTCAGTGGCGAAGTTTTTATTCAACGTATAAATGCAGCTTATGAACAAATTGTAAAATGGAGGCGAAATATTTTTCTATTACCATCTGGGAAAGCCGGAAAAGCTTTCATCTCAGAACTAGCTAGATTATATCAATCCTATGCAGAGAGTTCCCTTTAGAATGCATTGCTTTAAAAGCATGTTCAGTCATGCAGAGCTTGCTATTACAAAAGCCTCATGCTAAAAGCAAAATAAAGGAACATAGCTACAGCGTGTTTAGAACGTAGGATGGTCCTGTGGACGGTGGGTAATATTGACAAATAATTTTGGAAGGAAAGTGCATCCAAAAACATCTTAGCACGAGTAGAAAAGCAGAACTGGAATTTGAAAAGATTGCAAGAGGATTTAATCGTCTCATGCTACAAGGAAAGACAAGACAAGCGGTTCGATTGATTTCTAATGCAAATAGAGGGGGTCTATTAAACATAGACTCACTAATTCCTGTCGGAGAGAACGAAAACGGCGATACAGAATGGAAAACAACGCGCGAAGTTTTACTCGAAAAGCATCCCCACGGTTGTGCCCCCGCTGCAGAAACACTTCTAACAGTGTCGGATATTGAGGACGTACATCATGATCCAATTATTTTTGAAAGAATTACCGGGGAAGAAATAAAGATCGCGGCAAACAACACACAAGGTGCAGCTGGTCCATCGCTTTTGCTCGTCGTTCAAAAGTGCTTTGGTTGATCTGTGTAATGCACTGGCTGGGGTAGCTCGTCGTCTGTGCACCTCTCCTGTCGATTCAGAGGGTTTATCTGCTTTTTTGGCTTGTCGACTCATACCACTTGATAAAAATTCAGGAGTTCGACCCATAGGCATTGGTGAAGTCCCAAGACGTATAATAGCAAAGTCGATCCTCAAGGTGGTTGGGAATGATGTTCAGGAGGCTGTGGGGCCACTACAAGCATGTGCAGGTCACGAAGCGGGATGTGAAGCAGCAATTCACGCCATGAAGGAGATCATGTCATTCGATGAAACAGAAGCAGTGTTATTAGTAGATGCGCATGCCAGCAATGCTTTTAACACAATTAATAGACAGGCTGCATTACATAACATCGGAGTAATGTGTCCCTCCATATCAACAGTGCTAAATAATACCTATCAAACACCAGTTCGACTATTTGTTACGGGAGAGGGAGAAATTTAATCATCGGAAGGGATTACCCAAGGAGATCCCCTTGCCATGGCTATGTATGCTCTTGCGGTAACACCCTTAATTCGTAAGCTGAGATCAAAAGAACCAACGGTTAAACAAGTATGGTTTGCAGATGACTCTTCAGCAGGTGGAAAAATCGTATCTTTAAGAAGATGGTGGCAATGTTTGCAATCTATCGGTCCACAGATGGGATACTTTCCGAGTGCAAGCAAGACACATCTCGTAGTGAAACAGCAGCTTGAAAAAGAAGCAATTAAGGTTTTTGATGGAACAGGAATCAAAGTTATTACTGAAGGACACGAAATGCTCGGATCAGCAATTGGTTTAAGTCATTTTACGGAACAGTTTGCTGCCAAAAAGATCGAACTGTTTGTGAACGAAATTGAAAGTTTTGCCAAAATAGCAGAGCGTTACCCTCAATCTGCGTATGCTGCTTTTTCACATTGTATTATAGGTAAATGGCGCTATGTAATGCGGACAGTCGAGAATATTGATAAACTTTTCCAGCCTTTAGAAGATACCATCAATCAAATTTTTATACCAGCATTAACCGGAAGGGGACCATGAAATCCCGATAAAAGGAAACTCATTTCGTTACCTATACGTTGCGGGGGTCTGAATATCTTCAATCCAGTCACAATCGCGAATGATGAGCACCATGCCTCACGGACAATCAGCGAGCCTGTCAAAGACATGATTATAGAGCAGAAAGAGTCGTTCAGTAAACCGCAATTACAATCCATCAAGGCAAGTTTGCGTCAGGACAAGAATCAGAAAATTGAGGATATGGCTCGACAAGTAAAGGAATGTCTACCTCCCGGTGTCAAGCGAAATCTCTGACCAGTGCGAAATCTCTGACCTCGCGTGACCGGTCAGAGATTTCGCGCGTGTACACGCGAAATCTCTGACCTTCGCGAAATTACCGACCTCGGCCGATCTTTATAATTTATATTAAATTTATATTTCATATTAAATGTTATATGTTCTAAGGTAGTAGGTATAAAGTATTTCTATTTATAAAGTATTACTTTGTTCTCAAAGAATATGTAAGACAATGTAATTTTAAGCTTTGGTTTAGGAAATATTTGGCAAATAAATGTTTGAAATTAATGTGACTATAGTCTATATTTGGCCACCTAAGTGTATATTGTATATTAAATATGAGTCGTGTGTGAACTGCAACTTTCATATGTGATATTATACCTAAATAGCCTATATAATTGTCCACATGACCACATAGGTTTGTCGACATGTGTGGTCAACATGTGCACATGTATGTACATGCTCAATGTCCACTGTCCAGAGGACCAGACCTTGACATCAACAACTTGAATGTAAAAATAATATATTGAGATATTTAAGTTGATATGTTGAGATATTAGAGTGTTGTTCTTTAGTAATTAACACACAGAACACAACGTTGTCAGACAGCAATAATACTATTCAGGACATTCATGATATTAATTTATTAACCTGTGACGGTATTATTTATACTTTCAACAATGACATTAAAGAAATATTCAAACTCATTACTATTATTATCTTAATTTCTTGCAACTGTATTTACATAATTATTTACATCCAGAGGTTAGTTATTTACAATTAAACTATATATTTACACTTAATTTGTACAGGCACAAGTACTACATTTCTAATAAAATACATAAAAAAATTTCTAAACACTCTAATGAAGCTTAACAATAAAAGTTTTCTGCAAGGGCAGTTGCAAAGTCTACACCAATACAGCTTGCATGGAAAAATTGACAACATCTGTCACAACCCAGCCAGTCATCTCCACCATCCCCCCTGCAGATTTTGCAGACACTTGCATTTCGTCCACTATAAAAATATAAAAGATTTGACTGTACTCCCAAGCCCAATTTTGCTCATTGGTACTCAGTAAAACAAAACAAACATTTGATTTACCTGTCAATGTCATCGTAGCATGACCCACATATATATATCATAAGAAATAACATACATAAATTGGCTTTAATTCAGGCACCATTGTCTTGATCTTCTGGGTCTTCTGACACTGAGGGAAAGTAGCAATCTAAAATAAAAACAATAAAATGTTCAGAATTGTACTATTTTATTGGTATCCTTATCACCTAAATACACATGGGGGCACACTTACAAACTCCTTTACATCTTCTGTGATTGATCTCCAATAAAAGCGTTCTGAGATGTTTGCCTCAGTGCGCTTCTCACCCATGTGCCCTCCAGACAAGCCATTGCCATGGATATCGTTAAGTACACGATCAATCTAAAACAAGTTATAAGTGGTGAATTTACATGGGTATTTTACTAATTTACTAATTGCATAATGCATACTATACTAACCTCATCCCTGTTAAATAGTACCTTTGCTTTTTTTGGTACCTGATCGTTTTTCGCCTTTCTTTCCATGTTGACCAATGTAATAAAGACTGTTATTTATTTCTAAAATTAGTATTATAATTAGTGCTATTCATTCATTCACTAATGTTAAATGTAAACAAAACATAATATACTGTGTCCTCCCACTCTGTTCAGTCTGTTGTGTAACTTACAGCTAGCTTTCACTAAGTTGGAATTCATTTTCCAATGAATAATACCAAGCAACAATACCCAGTAGGAATGAAATAAATCATAGACAATCCATTGCAAATCTTTGATGAGGAAACTTGGCTCTGGCCACAATAATACCAAGCAATATATTTCCAGTAAATCCAAAGCATAAAATAAATCACAAATCCACCCAAAGCCAAGTAAAAACCAAGTAAATAATAACAGCTATATCGATGAAAAAATTAATTTAAACTTTACCAATATCATTTAAAAAGCACAAAAATCACACAGACTTTGCTATGCCTTGCCAATACCATACCTTCATACACAAAGTTTCTTGAGAATTCTGAAAGCGCATGGAAGGCTTTTCTCCTCGTGGTCTTCTCCAAATTTTCCAAGTGCGCTGGCATCTGGCGTCCTGACTTCAGGAACTCCAGAACATCTTGTAAAGAAACCTATTTTTATGAAATAACAAGAAAATTTTTTCACAAACAAACTTTATATTCTTTCATGGCATTCAAAATTCGAAAGAAAATAAAAGTCAGAGGCGTCCTGACTAAATTGTGCGGTGTTCGATCGCTATAAAATCCAAGTTCTACATACCTTGTGTTTATTTATCTTTGTTTTAGGCTTTGTATCGACACTGGCAGTATTGGTCCCAGTCGTAAAATTAACAATCCGTTTCACATTTTGCCACCATTTCTTTGGGTTTTGGTTATGAAAGGGTTTTATATTTTGTGCATAGAATTTGTGCTTGGCTTTTCGAATCTCTGCTACAATTAAATTCCGTAGTACCTTGGATTGGGAGAATCTTCCAAGTTGGTATGCTCTATCTCGTTTCTGCATTAGTTGTTTAATTCTACCATTTATAAAAGGTTTATCGTCTTCTTGGATTTTAACTGACTTTGACGGAAAAAAGTTTTCGATCATCTCGAATGTTATTTCTAAAAATTTATTAACCTTGTCGTTTACACAAGGGATATCCAATACAGGCGACCAATTGTACTCACTAATATACTGCTCAAATGCTTGAAGCGACGAGGATTTCAAAGGTCGGACCTTTATCCGCTTTGCCTTTTGTTCCTTTTTGTTTCCTTCTTTAGATGACCATATGATTGTACTATGGTCAGAGTTTCCAATTGGAGCTAAGATGTGTGGTGTTTGATAGAGATTCATAATATCTGTGAATATAAGGTCAAGTATTGCGGACTTTCGAGTAGGTTTTTTAACTACTTGTTTTAGGTGGCATTGGGTGGTTATAGTTTTAATGTTAAAGCCATTACTTGCAGGATTAAAATCACCAGCAGCGATAATTGATGTGCTTGGCATGTCCTTTTGGTGGTCAACCAATAGTAAGGCATAACGAGATTAGGGACGTAACAGCTCAGTGGCTAAATGAAGTGTGTGCTGATGTGGTAAAAGAGCCATCACTTCAGCCACTCTCAGGTGAAGTCATACTACCACGCACAGCGAACAGGCAAGATGAAGCAAGGCTAGACATCCAAGCAAAGGGATTCTGGAATCGGCAGCAAGATGCATTTTTTGATGTGAGGGTTTTCCACCCAAACGCACCGAGTTACCGAAACAACAGCATACCTTCACTATACAGGCAGCATGAGATGGCGAAGAAAAGAGAATATGGTGATCGCGTAAGGGAAGTAGAATATGCCACCTTTACACCATTGGTATTCTCAAACAACTGGTGGAATGGGTAAAGAGACCGCCATTGCATTTAAACATCTGGCGGAGTTGCTGGCAGAGAAGAGAAAGACGGAGTATGGCATCACACTGGCTTGGATGCGATGCAAAGTATCATTTGCTGCGCTAATACGCTCAGCGGTGATGGCAATACGAGGTAGTCAATCCTGTGTTCATCGAGAACAAAACCCGGACATTGAACTAGCACATAGAGAAAGCGGTCTGAGAGCTTGACTTTCATTTTAATTTTAATTTTGAACTGTAGCCACATATCATTTCTAGTGAACAGAGCAATCAACTTATTTTTACTGTAGATAAATGTCTATAATTGTTTTAAATTGTATTTTAATTTATTTGTAAATAAACATATTTATTATTATTTAAAAAAAAACAACAAAAAAAACAATCAAAAGTCACTGACTTAATAAAATAAACATAATGTAATTATTATATTTATCACGTTGTATCCCCAAGCATCCGCAATTTTTTCCCACAGACAGCGGGAACATCTTTGTTGGTTGAGCGCGTCTTTAAATTTAGCATTCATCCGCCAATCGCTCACTTAGCTGAGCCGCCTTGCGAGGGCCAGTGAACTCAATTAAGACTGGAACGCTAGCTCTCTCACTTTCCCTCTCACTTTCCCTCATTAATGAGTGAAACCAAAATGGCGGATCATGGCTAATTACTAACAAAATACGTCTTCACTTCTTGAATTGCTCTTCGCATTCATCTAACCGAGAAACTATACAGACCAAAACATAAGTCTCCCATCCTCGATGAAATACTGCCATAGTATTTCTAGAATATGAAATTTCCGCTTTGCCTTTCGCTTTTGCCTTCGACTTCAAGCCTGCATGTCTTGATCTGTATCACTATCAGACATTGCTTATAAAGTGCGATGTGAAATGTCTTCCCGAGTAAAACTAAAACAACGCTGTTCACAATCCTGCATCTGAAGCCATGTTTCAGTGGGTTTAACATTTTAAAATAAGCTTTCTTATGTGAACTACACAGCGTCTAAATTAACAGTGATTAAACATTACGTCTGAATCTGGCTAAAAACTTAACAAAAAGCTCGCCTTCCATGCATAAGTATCGCAACAGCTAGCAAACTAGTGTTTAGTCAATATATTTGACCAACCAAAGCCAATGTCAAAAGCAGTTCAAAAAATTTTCTCTTAAACATAACAGTTTCAACAAAATGACGGGCTGCTTTTTTATTTTCAAATCGTTCGTTTTTTCCAGGCTTACAATTAATGCAAACTGGATCGTTCTACAAACACATCCTTTGTCTACACCGTCCATTCCCGTTACAACGACAGCATCGAGTCATATTTAAACTACAAACAACTACAATACTTACGTGGTGTACCTACAAGCTAATTTACGTAACTATTATTTGCTTTAACCACGGGGAGAAAATATTTAAAAATGTTTATATATTGTATTTATATGGAGTATAGAAGAACATACGTGGTAAATTATATCGTGCATGTGCATGACAAATACTTTTATCTTGTAACTTCACGGTTATACAATAATATAAATAATATATTTGAGAAATAGGAAGTTTGAAATCAATTGTGTAAATGTCTTAATAATTTTAATCCTTCCTGGGTTTTATAGTATTATATTCATTTTTGTTCTTTTAGGCCAGTTTAATTTGCCCGCCTAAAACGATTACATGCAAATCTCTACCCCGGCAACTTAGCAGGGCGTGGCAAACGAGCTAGGATTGGAGGGAGGTGTCACGTAATATTGTCCAACTTTTGATAATGGAAAATGAAAATTTGTGTATGACATTGTGCAGGAGATTGGTCCACTTTTCCATGAGTATCACGAGCCTTAAATATTCATAAATACTGAAACAAATGTTGTTGTATATTTGATCAATTTACTTACAAATAACAAAGCAATTTGACCAACTTTTTATCATTCTAAATTATCAGGGGGTGTCTCACCCCTCACACCATCCCCTATCCCCAATCGCCACGCCCATATCGGCAAGCGGAGCTGGCCCGCTTGACACCACCTAAGCCCGAGCTGACCCGGTTGCATGTAACAGAAACGTTTCAATTGACTATAATAAACTATAGGAAACGGGCCAGCCTCGCCCATGCAATCCGCCCCTTACATCATGACGCGGGTTCACATCACTATACATGGACCTATTCCAAGTAGAGCAAGAGGCCTATTGCGAGATACACAAAGACAAGGCTAGTCAGGTTTTCTATACTGGAAAAATTCCAAAATAATTTGTTCATTTCTAAATTTTGATTGAAGGAAACTTTGCCTTTTGTATCTTCTGACTTAAAATAAATGATTTAATATTCGAAAAAATAAGATCTGATTATAGCCTGACTACACCAAGAAATTGTACTTCGCCACAGGCTTCTTTCACCTTTTCCAAAAGGTTTATGTACTTTATCTTCCAGAGGAGCTTCAAAAAATTGCTTTAGAATATAAAAATGGAATGCTAAAAACGTCTGATAAAAGTTTGTCTGACAAAAGAGGAAACTAATTCTAAAAGTAAAGATATCATGATTCATCACTCATTCCAGCTATTTTAGATCAGGTAAATCATTGACCTAAACCTTCCTTGTTATTCATTTCACTCAAGTCTCTGACTATATTAAGAAAGATGAACAAAAATATCCTTCATTTTATAGCTTCGTTTTCCTGGCTACGAAAATAATTTCCTTTTAGATTTTAACTTCTAATGGAGGAAATTGTATTTTCCTATCTTCGGATATAAACACCTCTAAGTTTCAGGAAAATAACATAAACAATTGAAAACATATTGCTTCAGTCACGGCGTAATTTTTTTGGTTTCTTTCAGAGCCTTTTTTTATCCAAAGCGGAAAAACAAGTAATAATGATCCATGTTAATTATAGAAGGATTTTTTGTTCATCGTCTTCCGTTAGGAACAGTAAAGCAACTAAAGAGGGCTATTATACTGAATTCCTGTGTGTAGAATAAACTGAACGCTTAACAAGTAAGAGGCTGAATATTCATGTACGCTTATCACAAGTACACAAAGGAAGTATGTGAATTAATCGATCTCACACGCAGGTTATAAAAACACGCAGCAGGAAAATCTCTTGGATACAAAATATATTTTAAAAATATTTTTCTACTAATATTACACAGTTCAAACGTTTTCATAGACATATTCCGTGTTCGTTAAATCCGTTGACTAGTTAAAGTTAATTGCCTTTTTTTAAAAAAAAATATATCAGACAATTTGCGTGCGTTTCGCCGTTAAAACAAGAAATTCCATGCTCAACAATTTACATCACGAAAGGAAAAACTAAAAAAACGTTTCAACGATTTCCGTGGTTTTCGCATTTCAGGACGTTCCATAGCTGGACGTTTTGATTTACGCGTGGTTTTCACATTTAAACAAGAAATCGGATTCTAAACTACTTACATCAAGAAAGGAAATCTTAGAAATACTTTTCAATATTATGAATTTTGAAATATTTGTTGCCATTTCTGTCAACGAACAGAAGAGAACGCGTTGATGGAAGAAAGAAAGCAGGTGGATGAGGACGAAATACACTGCTAGAACTAGAAAAGAGAAGATCACGAAAGTATCTGGAAGCTATGATTCTGCTTTCCGACACCTTAACAAAATGTGTCCATTTACGGGTGAAAATAGCGATCAAATCAGAATCGATATAAACAGCCCCGTACAAAGGTTTTCAATAGGAAGTTCATGCAAATTTTGCACATCATTTGGGAAAGTAATAGAAAGTAAACGAAAATTAGACGATGTCTCTCTTGTCAAGAACACTGCATTGCGAGTCGTTTTTGTACCAGATAAAGACCACCAACGAATATTCGGTTGACCCAACTCTCCGGTTGAACGTACAATCCATGTGTTTCCACATTTTATTTCCCATAATTCATAAGCCAAATTCCAAAATGAAATCAGACAATAATAACATAACAGCACACCCATCAGAACTT